GTCAGGGCACGGCAGCACTCACTGATGGCTACTGGGTGATCACAGGCTGGATGTTCACTGATCAGCAGGCATTATGTGACCAATCACTAATGAAGCTTGCTCCACCAAACTTTGCTTGTATAATCACATCCACATGGGGAACATCAACCAAAAATTTCAGTGCCTTGAAAAGAACATAATTTTGGACTTGGAAAGAGTACATTGGATAAAGTTCAATATCACTTTACAAGATTGCAAGATTCATCATCACAGCATTGCAAGATTGATTTGGCTGGTAGGATTGGTAAATGGCATTGAAATGTGTTGCTCACTTTAACCATCCACTATTGCAGTTGCAATTGTGGTTTTATGATATGATGTGCTCACGAATGAATACACTGTGTCCAAAGTATTTATTATGTCCGCAGTATTCTTATCACTACTCATCCAGGTCATCTTGGGGGGGGGGGGGGCAAAGGCGAAGCATGATCTACTGCTCACACATACTGAGCTTGACAACAGGTCAGCTCTCCAAGCTTTTTAATAATCTGTCATTTATGCACCAGTATATCATACTACAAGAAAAATAAGCCGGAGACTAGTAGTCAGACACAACCTTGCTTGAAGTTATCCCACTAAGAGCTATAAAAGCCATTTTCCAAGCATCTTTCAGGTAAATATCCCAGACCTGTCCTATTTGTAGTTGAATAAACAGTCAAGTCAATTGTCATAGAAATACAGGTGTGGAGAGAGCACACAGTATGCTCTGACTACAAAACAATATGAATTTGATAATATAAAAACATCCATTGCACAGTGGCCTTGCAAGAGGTTCTATGTATGTTTGTTTAACTAATCCTGATAGCTCAGTTGATTAGAGTGCCTGCTTTCTAATCCATTAGTGGTAGGGTGAGTAGAAGTGCTTCAGGGCTTCCTATTTGTCCTCAACAGGCATGGCCCTGACTGCCACCCAGCCACCTCTGTAAAGATGATGTCAGAGGGCAGGGGGCGGGTGGATCCCCTGCAGAGCATTATCACATGTTAAGCTTTCACGTTCAAATTCTGCTACTGACATGGAATTACACAGTCAGGTGATAGGGGTCAGGACTGGCACAAGCACTGCTAAGCACAAGCTCTGCTCTCAGAAATCCATCCATTGAAAAGGTTAAGATAAAATCTTCAAAAATAGAGCTGCCTTACCTCTAGGGGGCTTACTGCCTGGTGATATATTCTGGATGACACGGATGTCATTGTGCTTGTCCTACTCATTGTTGATGTGCCTGTTCCATACATGATGCCATCCATGGCGTATTTTTCAGGCATATTTTTTGCCAAGTGACAATAGGCTAATAGGCTGGTGGCCTGTTAGAAAACTGCACCTTCAAGGACCCAAAAAGCGAGCTGCCCAAATTGCTTAAGTCATCAAACTAGAAACAAGGAATGCATTATTACACCATTCAGCAGATAATGTGTACATTTAACCCATGACAGTGTGTTCTTTGTACTGCCACTCGCCACTGATGTGGCTTTCATGTTTACACTGTCAACATTCTGTACACCTTTGTATACATAATAGTATTAAATGTGCCTCAAACAAGGATTTTAGTGAACTAAGCACAACTATGATAATTGACAAACCAAACTAGCCATTGGCCGAGCTAGCACTGCAAAGTGTACGGGAGATGTCCTCACCAACATCACCGGCCTACACAGTCTAAATTCGAGCTAGATTTATAATGGGCCTCGAGAATCATACATTGTAAAATGCACACTACATCTGCTGAAGCCAAGCGAAAAGGGCAACCTTCTTCCTAAAACGAACCGTAGGAAAAGAACCACCAAACACCTTCATGCAATAATGACGCGCTTGAGGCATTTGGGCGTTGTTGACTGTTGGTGCTGTTGACCAGGGGCTGTCGGCTACATCAGGGTAAATCGGGGAAGGGCTGTGGGTGGGTTGGGGGCTTATTGATACATGACGGTTGACTTAGAAATGGTAACGTGGGTTTCGCTGTGATAAGTTAATTTATGGGTTATTTTGCTTGTTATAGGTCCAGATGCGCTGTCTGGAAAATTGGTAATTTTGGTGTTTCTGTGCCGCAAGGGATTCTGTGATGGCAAGAATTGTGCTCGAGTCACCAACAAAATTGCGTATTCTGCACTATCAACAAGAGGTTATTGTTACATCAAGTTTGTTCCAAAGTACAGCATTTTGTACATGACCCAGTGATAACTGTTATAACCCCAGCAGCATCTTGGGCAAAATGCAATGTTGCTTACATATGTCTAAATGTCAGTTAACTCACTACTCACTGTGCTAGCATTCATATATGATGTAACTAGCCACACTGTTAACTGGTGTTTGGTGGCCACACTAAAATTGTATTGACTTAACTCATATTGTGATGATGATGGTGAATTTTTTTGCCAGATATTTGGACTCGTGCAAAATGTTCACTCTGTCAACATACCCTGATACACTATACAATATAATTCAAATCAGTGTTGGTAATTTTTACATTTATGATGAGGTAATTTAATTTAGAGCACATCTTGATTTACTTTACACCATGTGACAGACCACTGCAAGTCTTCCTTGATAAATCCTGTTTTTTATAAATACCATTATGGAAATGTTTATCACCACCATCAGGTTGACATTGTGAGCTGGAACCTGCTTACACAGAATATTTTGTGAAGCTTATGCACCTTTTATGACAACTGGTGGAGGCCCATAATGAAATGGACAATTTACTCGAAAAAAGCTTGTGTGGATATCCACAGATGCCTCAGATAAGTGGATCACACAGATTGATGCTTTTGTGCTCTGCAGGCAAGGGATAAAATAGGATCTTCCAAGCTTGAGGGAGCAGTATTCATTTGTTTTTACTTCTTTTGTGATATTCATGGGGCCAAGATGATATTCCCAGAAAGTCAGGGGCCTCAGCCCCTATGGCCCTCTTGGTTTCTGCACCCTTGCATGCAGGTACCATACATAATAGATAGGTACCTGATACTGTACATGTTTACCTGTGGCAGTGGCTCAGATAGTGGAAACCTGACAGTTTGCTGCTGCTTGATGTTAGCAAGGTCATGACACAGCAAGCTGATTGGAGCCATTGTGCCTCAAGTTGACTGGTGAATTCTTTGATCTCACTGTATCCTGATAACATGCAGACTGCTCATGAACCATTAAAAATGGCATGGATTGCACTGGTTGGATCTGGTGGGAGCAGCTGGAACTGGATGACCCAGGCAGGGTCAGATAGGACCAGATTGGCCCAGATTGGGGTGGGCCAATCTAGCTAAAGTGGTAAAATAAATTTTAGTTGTGCAAAGCTGGTGTTGGATGCTGCCAGACCATCTTGCATGTTATGACTTGCTCACCACATTCTCCAGTGCCCACTGCTCACCACATTATCCAGTCTCCACCCATTGTCACATTCTTTACAGTGGTTTTCTTGGGTCAGTGCACAGGCTAAGACTTTGCCCTACCAGAGCATTGCTTTCTTTCCTCCTGGATGCTAGCCCTGCCACTGGAATGGCTCATGCAATCATGATATATGCTAATCTATCTCAACTCATTAGCCAGTGATTTCTGTGGTTCTCCTTTGGTCCTTTCATGCATCCTGTAAACTTAAGGCATTTGTCATCATATGTTCTGTAACTGGGTATGACTTGAGCTATAGAGATACTCATGCACATTACATTGCTCCTTGCAGCCAAGAAGAAATGAACTTCAACTGCCTGATCTGTGGAACCAGATGCAAGCTTCACAAGAGCCAGCTTAGTTCCAGGCTGGGAGAGTGGCAACAGGAGTGGTCCTCCAAGGAAGCTGATCAGGGACTCGTTTGGATACTGGATCTGGATCTGAACTGGTCAGCTTTGGCTGTGCTGAATATGTGTGATTATATTTTGCTGTTGTATTTTATGTCTATCATGTGCATTGAATGCTGAATGATGTGTTGTTACATGAGGCTACCATCTAAGAAATGCACTGAATGCAGTTCCATGCAATGCTTGATGATTCCCCGGGTCTGGTTTTCAGCTTGGACGAGGAGCAGTGCCTGTGTCCAAAGTGCTCACAACTCTTGCGTGATCTTCGGAGCTATGAAGCTAAGGTCACCGAAATCCGAACTGAGCTCATTCAGAGACATGAGGGTTGCATGCATACAGACACTCCAGGATCTGTAGACATCACTGTCACAGGTAATCCATCTAGGCTCTTTGATGTCCTTCACTAGTGAGATGGTTTTCAAAATAAGATGGCCCTGCAGATATTTTGGGATGGTTTTCAAAGAAGATGGCCTGGGCAGATATTTGTGATACACTTAAAACGTGTTTAAATGACGTCAATGTTGCCTGTAAAACGTTGGGGTTCTCCAGCACGATGAGAATTATCAATAATGCTAAAGAAATACGATTGTTGCACTTTGCTGCGTTGTTCCAGCAGTTTGTCTGGCCTCCAACAGCCTGCCTGCCTTCTCACGACTGATCGTGTCCCGTTTTAGAAGCGTCTGTGAGGCATAAGCCGAACTCGGCGAGGCCAGAGCCGGAGCTGGAGCTAGAGCCAGAACCAGATCCAGAGCCGGAGCCAGAGCCAGATCCGGAGCCAGAACCAGAGCCAGAGCCAGCGCCCTGCCTGCGGCGAAGCTCTCGTCGTTGTGGACGACCGCCGGCGCCGGGCGGTGGTGCCGTCTTGCCGACAGCCGGGCGTCGCCGCCGGCCTGACCCGCTCGACCTCGTCCAGGTGAAGACGGAGCCGGGCGCCGCGCCGGCAACCGGCGGGCAAGGTCGTGGCGGCCCGAGCGGCGGCGGCGGCCGGCGAGGCGGGCCTGGCGACGAACCCCGCTGACGGTCGGTCGGGGGCCGGCCGCGTCAGGGGCCGAGGCCGGCGGCGAGACGCCGTCCGAGGACGCAGACGGCGGCAGCGGCGGCGCCGCGGCGGACGACGGCGGTTCGGACGCTGAGTACCAGCCGCCGGCGCCCCGCGGCCCGCTCCACTGCCGACCGTGCGGGCTGCAGTTCGGGACGCGCGCCGGCCTGGCGGCGCACCGGCACGCCGCGCACCGCACCACCCTCGGCTCCAACACGTGCACCATCTGCCAGAAGACGTTCCGGGCCCGCAGCACGCTGGTGACGCACCGGCGCATGATTCACGGGCCGGGCGAGCGGTGTCGCCACTGCGACGTCGTGTTCCGGGACTTCGCCGAGTACTACCGACATCTCGCGGACGCACACGGAGTTCGGAAGTTCGTGTGTCCAAACTGCGGCGCTGGCTTCGCCCGGAAGGTGATGCTAAATAAGCACCTAGTGAAGGAGGCGCGGCACATGAGGCGGGCGAAAATTGTGGTAAGTGACTGCTGGCAGTACTGGTTTAGAAGAACATGTCTAAGCATTTCATAGCAAAATTCGGAGAAAAAGCTAAAAAGCTCCTTAGACTTTGTTTCCAATGTGTTTTATATTCCCTGTCTAACTTTTATGTTTGAGTATGGTTTTCGGAAGTTCTCATGGTGTTTGTTATTTTTTAAACCTTGAATTTTTTCAATGAATGACATAACGCTTGATCAACTGCTTTACCTGCATTCAGCTGGAGAGTGTCGTTATCTAATTTGTTATTCGTCGGTTGTTGCCTTCCAACAGTGACTGGAATCTGACGCTCATACTTAGGAGTCACTCCCAAGCTGAGTCCGATGCTGGTGCCGCCCCGACCCCGGCGGCTCCCAGCGTCGCATCCCTCAGCCCTTCTCCGCCGGCAGGGGCGGCCCACGGCCCCGGCGGCCCCCAGTATCGCATCCCTCAGCCCCTCTCCGCCGGCAGGGGCGGCCCACGGCCTCGGCGGCTCCCAGTGTCACGTCCCTCTGCCTCCCTCCATCGGCAGGAGCGGCTCCCAGTGTCGCATTCCTCTGCCTCTCTCCGTCGGCAGGGGCGGTCCACGGCCCCGGCGGCTCCCAGTGTTGTGTCCCTCTGTCTCCCTCCATCGGCAGGAACGGCTCCCAGTGTCGCGTCCCTCTGCCTCCCTCCGTCGGCAGGAGCGGCTCCCGACTCCGGCGGCCCCCAGTGTCGCGTCCCTCTGCCTTCCTCCGTCGGCAGGAGCGGCTCCCGACTCCGGCGGCTCCCAGTGTCGCGTCCCTCTGCCTCGCTCCGTCGGCAGGAGCGGCTCCCGACCCCCGGTGGCCACCAGTGCTGCGTACCTTTGCCTCCTCCCGTCCGCAGGAGCGGCTCCCGACTCCGGCGGCTCCCAATGTCGCGTCCCTCAGTCTCTCTCCGTCGGCAGGAGCGGCTGCAGGCGCTCCAGTGCTCCGTCTGCGAGTTCCGGCCGCCGGTCAAACGGCTCGGCCGGGAGTCGTCGGTCCGCGCGCGCATCCGCGACCACGAGCACCGCGCCCACGGCCTGCACGGCGCCCTGCCCAAGGTCAGCGGCGCGCCGGTCTGACTTGACCTAAGGTCAGACCTGATCTGACGCGAGGGTCGGCGTTGACCCTTGTCGGAGTCCCGGCTTGGACGTCACGCTGCTCTGACGTCATAGGACTTGATGTTAGAGTTGTCAGACCGGACGTGAACTGAGATCGAAGCGTACACGCGGTGCCAGGCACGGCGCGGGTCCAGGCACGGCGCGGGTCCGTGTCAGGGACGTCCTCGTGAGGGCACTGCTCCGTCCGTGCCGTCTCGTCCAGGCTAGGTCGATCCCGGCCGGACTCAGTTACGGCGCGGGTTCTGGCTGTCGCGACCTGATCTGCCCCTGGCGGCGACGGGAGCCGCGTCCCTTTGTGGAGGCGCCCGGCCTCAGGCGGTGATAACGGAGCTGACCGACTCTGACCCCTACCCGGCCCGCCGCGCAGGTGGAGTCTGCGGCGCCGGAGGGCGTGGCGGAGGCGCAGGGCGAGCGATACGCATGCGACGTGTGCGGCGCTGTCTACGGGTGCAGGCGCGCCCTCGGCATACACAAGAGGGTGCACAGGGAGGTGAGGCGCACAGGCGCGCCGCCGCTCGGCGGGGCGCGACCGGCGCTCTGGCGCACGGCCCCTGGCCATTGGTGTCGTTGGCTATCGTATGGTGCTAGTGTTCACATATCATTGTACCAACTCTCAGGCCGAACGTATGCGCGAAGTGCATTTCGTTTGATATAACTGTATTGGCAGGAAGATGGGTGAAGTTACAGTGCGCGATGTCTTACCGTTGTTAACTTTTTTGTCTTGGTTATGCGCCTACGTTCCTGCAATGTGTGCCGCCCTCTTATAGCCTCAGCGTCATATTGAGCATGGTCGTATCGTCTCCCCCGTTGCCAGACACGTAACCACCACAGGCTCGAGCATTCGTTGGACTAGGCCCGTCAGCAATCGGACGTACGGGCGGCGACACTGCGGGCTCCCGACGCGGTATCCCCGTGTAATCCAGCGGATCGAAAACTTCGCTAGGGGATTCGTGTAGCGCCTCTGTGGCGCGTCCCGCCTTCGTTCGAGGGTCTCAGACATCTCGAGACGCCCGTTCTGATGTCCCAAGTGACCCTAGCGAGCAGGCTCGTCTGTGACCTCTCCCCCCGCGTAACCGGCGTGTTCTCTGCTCACCCTGCCTCAGCCGGCGCCCGTCGCTGTGACCATGACACAGTGCGAGTTCTGCGGCAAGGAGTTCAACAGCACCTACCTGAAGACGCACCAGGTGCGGCTGGCGACGCTGCGGGACGGGCAGATGGCCGGCGGCTGGTCGGGTGTTCTCCGGATAGGGGACGGGGACGAAGGCGGTCTTGGGGTCCATAAGAAGGCATAGTGATGACTGAGTGTTAAGAGGAAGTGGCATAAGAAATGTAACTTATTGTCGGCTATAGAAAATTCGATTATTTTTAGTTTGCTGTTGTTTTGTATTGACTTCGTACACACATTTTCCATCACGCTGAGTTGTGTTTAGTGTTGCGTGTCGGCGTTGACAAGGAATGTCTCACGTTTTTTGCCAGGAAGCGGTCCACAAGCTTGCAGATCCCAACACTCTCCTTACGTGCGAGTTCTGTGGAAAACAGTACCACAAGTTTCAGAAAAAGCACTACCTGTCTCACCTACAGGTCAAACACTTCATGGACAAGGAGTTCATTTGTACTGAGGTAAGATCCATATTTCGCTTAGCTGATCTCGTTGTTTGCTGAAAATGGATACTGCTGCTCATCACTGGCCATCATTGATGCATGTTGCATAGGCTCAAGACTGGTTGAGGATTGGTAAATTAATATAGGGTTAACCACTCTTGATACCACTGCATTTTTAGAATGCGTTTTGCTTTTTGGTTCGGATAAGGTTTTCGTGAAGATTTCGGCTGAGTTTGGTTTGACCGCCAAGACAGAGCCTTGTGCGACGACGTCTCGCCCGTGCCTGTATGACATCTCGAATGTCGTTGGGCCTGCGCACGCCCGGGCTCTCATGTCTTTTTCCAACTAGTTCTTAATTTTGCCTGGGTAGGCGGTACGCCGCTGTGATGTATGTCGTGAAATTGTGAAAAGATGCTTGTTATTAATCCTGTTTTTGAAAGATATGAACTGTGGTATCCGGAATTATCGTATGTGACGACACGCTTTTTGTCATGTGTAAGCTTAAATGCTAATTCACGAAAGTATGCACGGTAACATTTAAAGACGTTTCACTATTTTAAGGCAAAGTGTAACATTGTTCAACTAGATTTGAACGTTAGGGCGCAGACATAAGCACACATGTAGCATGTTGGTGGACGTGCGTACGTGGTAAGTGCGTAACGTGGCAACATGCGAGGCGCGGAAGACTGGGATCTCGCGATCCCCTGCGCCTTTGTCTACCAGTCGGCTCTGTACCAGATTACAGCCGATCCAGCCAAACCCAGCGCCCATCGCCGGCGTCCCGCAGCCGGGCCGGCCCCTGCATGCTCCACTGACCGTCCCCCCCCCCCCGCGCAGCCCCTGTGCGGCCGGACGTTCCTGCACCAGCGCGGCCTGCTGCGCCACGTGCGCAGCTTCCACCAGCAGACGGTGCCGTGCGGCCTCTGCCCGGAGGGGTTCGCGTCGCTCTGGAAGCGGGACAAACACCGCGCCGAGGAGCACGGCCAGTACGACTTCGTCTGCGAGGAGTGTGGGCTCAAGTGAGTGGCGCGCCGGTCGTGGGTCTTCGGTGCTAAGCAGCGGGACGGAGTTTGGGCAGTCGTGCTTACTCCAGTGTTAAAACTGTTTTTTTTTTGTTAACCTGTTGGGCTTTACGCTTGGGGAATACGCTTGTGTCATGTCACCATCGCCATCCCAGTCCCAGATCGTCACCATGGCCAACGTTGTCGCGGGGTAGTTCTCGGTAGGTATCCAAAGAACCATTGAGTAAAGAAGCTAGCTTAAGCGTACTCTGGTGACGAAGGATCCAAAAGTGGCAATAACTGGAACATTAAGAGTCGTCATCACTGTTCCTGATCAAAACCAGGGGGCTATTAGCACGTTAATTACAGGCCTGAAGGAGCCGTGCACAATATCACCGGTAACCAGCGTGCCGCCGCTTACTCGGCACGTCGAGCTCCTCCGGCGCGCCCCAGCTCCCGCTCGCTCCCACGTGGCGCGCGGCCGGCAGGTTCTTCCGGCGGGCGGAGCTGGAGATCCACACGCGGCGCGTGCACACGCTCCAGCTGCGCTACCAGTGCTCGGCCTGCAGCCACCGCAGCGAGGAGCGCCGCAAGCTGCTCAACCACGAGCACGCGGCGCACGGGCTGCACGTGGCGCCGCTGCCGGCGCACAACCCGGCCGGCCAGCTGGGCTACCCGTGCCCGGCGTGCCGGGCCGTGTACGGCTGCGGCCTGGCCGTCAAACAGCACGCCTGGGAGCAGCACCAGGTCAGTCCGCCCGGCGGCCGCCGACGGAGCGGGCGGGGGCGGGGTGGAGAGGGACCGCTCTGGGGAGCGGTGATGAGGACCCGGTGGGGGCTCTGCAGGAGATGGCTCGTGATGGAGGCTGGAGAGGAGACGGAGACGGCTGTCCGTGGCGGGGACGATGGGCAGGGGACCGCGGGAAGCGGCGTCGCTCCGTGGTGGGTACAGAGGCGGGAGAACCAGCCGTGCAGTGTCGACACGCGACGGGTGCGGAACACGTGTGCTTGCCCCGACGGCGGTCGGCCGTTGTCTGTGGGTCACCCCTGCGTGGTGGCAGGTGGCGGCGGGAAGCGATGACCACTGGCAAAGATCGCGGACTGCCCGGTGTCGTTGACCCGTCCCTGGTCAGGTCCGCCGTGGACCGTGAATGTTGGATCGACATCCCCGGTCATCCCCCGGTCCGCGCTGTAAAGCCATGCATTGAGCCGCGTCGGCCGTTGGCTGGGCCGCCACGACGCACCTCTCACGTCATCACTTGTGGTCCGCCTCCTGGGAACACAATGCCCGTCCCGCGTGCTCCTTCACTGACGACCGACAGCGAGCTGACATCTCCCGTCGACCGGCGTGTTTCAGATCAAGCTGAACATCTACGGCAGGCCCAAGAACCCGGCCAACAAGCTCGACTTGGCCGCCGCTGCAGCCACCGCGGATGCCATCGCACAGATCACGTGATTCCGCGCAGTCAGAGGCACGTGCGTTTGCGGGCAGGGCTGGCAAATGCGCGACGTTGTGTCGGTGCCATACCACGTGAAGCGCTGAAGTGATGTGGTGAAGACGACGGCGCCAGATTCCGCTACGCGACTCAGTGGGAGGACAGCAGGTCATTCACGTTGTATGTTGCATGTTGAGGTGTCATTCCCCGCCCTGCTTGTTCCTTTGCGGTAATTATTGAAATGACAGGGCGGCCGTCAATGTGCGGCATGGGTTTTCTGTATTTGTACAGAGAGAATGTGTCTTTCTTCGTGAATTCGTCCCACAACAGCTAGCGACGGAAAAACATTTGCCATATGATCGTCACGGTAACGAGAACGACAGCACTTTGCCTAGCGTGGCAGGCTTTTTTGCTTCTGATGTATTCGGCGCAGAGAAACAAACGTTTCGATGTCGCGTTATCTGCTTTGCGCTATCGAGCTTGGCATCAGGGATGGAAGCAGAGGCGAAATATTGGTGGGGCGAGAATATCGTGGCCTAGGAACCCCATGTACGACAGTGGGCTGGGTTGATCTCGTTTGTGTACATTCCCGTGTAGGGTTGGGTCCGCGAAATTCGCTGGGGGGGGGGGGGGGGCGGAGGAAGCAGGAAACTATCGCCAAACCCGTCTCGCTGTACACATGGACGGCTCTCTACGAATAGGACTGACAGCTTTCTCCGCGCGGATGGTAGGACTGTAGTCTCATTCCTGCAAACGAAATAGAAAACTGCACACCTCTTCCTGCGTGCCTGCGTTTGGTGGCCATTAGCACGAAATGTGAGCTGAATGCGGGGTGATGCTGAACGGATGTCAATTACGCGACCCGCCGAGGCCGCCCACCCCCGGTCCATGCTTGTTGGTGTTGTGTATGCACAGGTGACGGAATGACTCGTGCTGCGATGACCGCCGTGTCGTGTCCAGCCGGTCGTGGTCGCCACTTCATATTGTAATCTCCAGATGTCTTACAAGTCTGCTTATCCACCTATATGTCAAAATATACGAATAAGCGTTCTATTATGCATAAAGCCCTGCTTTTATACGCAGAGAAGACTGAGAAGGAAAGCATAGCACCCTGCGCTTGGCAATCTTTTGAATTCTTTGAATTTTTTTGGACGCATGCTCTGGTGTCACTTTTTTGTCGGCTGGGGCCCAGCCTGTCAGCTAGACAACGCCGATGATTTCTTAGATACCGTGTAATACCACTACAAAGGGGCTACAACTGACAACGCATGTTTAGTAGTCAGAATATCACGTACATGACACGTGCATATACCAATAAAACATGTGAGCATCAACAACTAGACACGTATTAATAATATGAGGTACGAGCTTCCCTCTGTTGGGAACAGCTACACCCTAGGTGGAAATCGAACCCAGCTGCGTCTGCCACCCAAGCTGTGTGTTGGGACTGGCAGCGTGGTTCTGGTCGCCGAGAAATACAGCAACCACGCGTTTCCGCCGCCCTTCGACTTCTCGCGCCGAAACACGAATGACTGAAAACGCACATGGGGTTTGGGAGTGGTGAGTACTTAAATGTCTAATGTTCACGCGCACCCAATGTATTGATCTTTGCCAACAATGAACTATGCCTATAAAAATAAAAATTATCCGTGAATACACGTCCTTTTCACTCCACAGGCTATAGCATTCACACCATCCGCTCAGCGCCACAGGCAAACTCAGCCGTTTGCACATATTGACATAGGGGTTACTTGGAGAAGATGCGACGAAAAGTGCCTATTCCCGCTGGCAAACGTTGTGCCGTTCGGTTACACGAGAGGAGAAATGTTCCCTCAACGTTGTCAATTCCCACTTGTTTCATGAAGATCGAAACTTCTCTTGCATGGTCGTGAAGAACTGAAAAAACAAATGTATGACCTGTTTAGAACCACGCACGCTTTGTAAGCATCACACGCCAGTTGAATTCCGGCGAAACTGCGGACATCGCGGTCCGTGTCCGTGTAACGAGCATGCCTGACTCGCAATCGCTAGGTTGTGGATAGAGCTCAACAACAGGTGTGTTTTGCGTCCCTTCTCCACAACCAGCGTGACAGACTCGTCGGTGGTTGCACCAGACGCACATAGACCATGCACGTGAAACTAAACGCCAGTACGACACATAACCATTTACAACGCACCATTCTGAATCGCGACAGCTGCAGATCCCCACTGTCTGTAATCATTTGGGGGGGGGGGGGGGGGGAGGCCGTCGGAAACAGTCCCACGGACCGGCCTCGGTGGCTGCTTGGACTGTCTTTGGTAGGCCCCCTTCCCCCCCCCCCCCCAACCCACCCACACCCACACCCCGATCAACGTCCGTCAGCACTGACAGGTCCGGTCCCTATGAGCGCAGGTCACAGGTCAACCAGCTGATCCGCTCCATCGGCCCTGCACGTGGGACCAACTGCCTGGCCTGACCCTGGCAGCTCGCACTGAACATGTGTAATGTGTAATGTGAACATGTGTAATGTGAACATATAACATGTGTAATGTGAACATGTGAACATGTGTAATGTGAACATGTAACGTGTAATGTGTAATGTGAACATGTGTAATGTGAACATGTGACATGTGCAATGTGCAATGTGAACATGTGTAATGTGAACATGTAACATGTGTAATGTGTAATGTGAACATGTGTAATGTGAACATGTAACATGTGTAATGTGTAATGTGAACATGTGTAATGTGAATATGTAACATGTGTATGTGTAATGTGAACACAACAGCTGATCAGATTCTGACAGCTGGCTGGCAGCCGGATGACCCGCCCCAAAAGCTGTCTCAAGACGCCGACTGCAGCCAGCACTCACACCGATCCTCAGCAAGTCTAATAACGACCCGAGGGGTTATCGCTTTCCAATGCGTTTAAGGGAGTTCGAGCAAGTGACAAGTGCTAAATCTTACCCCACCCACGCTCCCCCCCCCCCCAAAAAAAGCATTAAACCCGTTTCTCCCGGATTTGACGCGTTGTTTAAGGTTTTTACTTAAGTCGGGTGGGCTACTGGAGACGCCATGTGAATAGGAAACTGTACCGCTGATACGAGCTGACCCTAGCAGCCGTGTCATCACTCCTTAAAACCGCGTGACCTGGCCCTGATGGTCAGGTAATCTGACGCTGAGTCACTGGCCTGGTCTAGTCAACTGAACTGAACCCAGTGCCTGACCTGGCCCTGAGTGTCAGTCGACTGACCAGCCCTGACCGCCATCTGACCTGACCCCGTGACCTCACACCACCCTGACGGCCGACCTGACCTCGACCTCATACCACCGTGAGTCCGCTGACCTAACCTCGGACAGCCAGCCGACCTTTGCCCACCAGCGACCGGTGACCTGACCTGTCTGATCTGGCCGAAGGCGGGCCCGAAGCGGCCGTGGTGCTGCAGCCCCCGGCGGATCCACTCCGGCAGGCCCTCCGCCACGCTGGCCCTGCCGTATCGCGCGTCGCACAGCACCACACAGGCGTAGTCGTTCCTGTGACCGCCGTCACACCGTCATACCAATGTCCATTTATACACGAATAGGCGGCACCGAATCGCAAGAAAAGTGAGAAGGACAGCACATCGATTAAAGAACAAGTGCAAGGACACTGCTTGCGCTGGGGAAGTTTTGACGCTGGAGTCCATGGCTTTCCATATTCACGCCAATTCATGCAAACTTTCCATAACGCACGTGTGACTTCAGGTAGCCACTACGCACTAGCACGCAATATGTCAGTCCCTCGGTCACATCGTGTGCGTGCCTCCCAGTGTCCCACAAGCGCCGTTTGCACCTGTTTGACGCTAGGAGGCGTCAAACAGGCGCTCACCGGTGGCGGATGGCGCGGCCGATCGACTGGTTGACCGCCTTCATGCAGAGGTTCTCGTACAGCACCTGACCGGGCGCCCGCCCGTCCTCAGACCGCTTCTGTGGACCAGGCAGGCGGCATTACGCACCGTCCTCCTACCGCTGCTGTGGTCGGGGCAGGCGGCATTACGCGCCCGTCCTCAGACCGCTTCTGTGGACCAGGCAGGCGGCATTACACACCGTCCTCCGACCGCTGCTGAGGC